TATGAAATACGCATGAATGACTGCATCTTTGAGGAAATTTCACCATTCCACTTCGATTCTGAGAGAACCAATTTTCCCATTACAACATGTGGAGGAACCAAGTTTTGCAGAAACCCGAACGTGGAATCTATGAAATACGCAGGAATGACTGCATTTTCGAGGAAATATCACCATTCCACTTCGATCTGGAGGGATTTTCCCATTACAACATGTGGATGAACCACGTTTTGGAAAAACCAGATGAAAGTTCGTGGAATCTATGAAATACGCAGGAATGACTGCATCTGCGATGAAATTTCACCATTCCGCTTCGATCTGGAGGGAACTGATTTTCCCATTACAACATGTGGAAGAACCAAGTTTTGCAGAAACCAGAAGATAGATCGTGGAATCTATGAAATACGCAGGAATAACTGCATCTTCGAGGAAATATCACCATTCCGCTTCGATCTGGAGGGAACTGATTTTCCCATTACAACATATTGAGGGACTAAGTTTTGGAAAAAGCAGAAGATCGTGGAATCTATGAAATACGTATGAATGAACGAATCTTCGAGGAAATATGACCATTCCACTTCGATCTGGAGAGATCTAAAATTTTCCATTACATTTATAGGGAGTGTCAAGTTTTGCAGAAATTGAAAGGAAAGACATGGAACCAGCATAATATGCAGGATTGACTGCATTTTCGAGGATATATCACAATGACGCTTCGATCTGGAGAGAAAGGATTTTCCCATTACAACATGTGGAGGAACCATGTTTTGAAGAAACTAGACGAAAGAATGTGAAATCATAAATACGTATGAATTACCGCATATTCGAGGAAATATGACAAATCCGCTTCGATCTGGAGGGAACCGATTTTCCCATTACAACATGTTGAAAGACCAAGTTTTGCAAAAACCAGATCGTCGAATATATGGTAAAACGGGTGGTTTTCGCGCACACTCCTTGTATTTTGTACTTTCGCATCCCATGACGATTTTATCCTCGTTCGGAGACTTGAACAAAATACCTCATTTTGTAGGGTGTGAAATTGGCTATCAATCCATAGCAAATTTAACGTCTCTGCAGCAACAGCCAAGTAAGGAGGCAAGCGAGATCCAGGGTGGTCAGCCAAGGGCTGATTTCGCGGTTGTCTCGGTGATAATCGCGCGAGACAAATTCCATTTTCGCGCATTATGCTTTTAAATCACCTGCCTTGTCCATGAACTCCTGGAAATACGGTAAAATTCCAATTTTCATTTGTATAAAGATCTTATCCTTCCACCATCACAATGAAATATTTACGCATGAAAATGAGTCCAATGTTGACAGTCATGAATTTATTTTAAAACATCTTGAGTACGGAAACCCTAAAATTTTCGCGCTTTTAGTGATTCAAAATGTGTATTAATAGAACCATCCAACAACCATGTGGAGCATCAGGCTTGACATCTTGAGGATCGTCTGGAAAGCTTGTGTTTTCTCTGTTCTCCACAGTAGGGGGGTACCAATTCAATCCGAAAACAGTGTATTTAGAGTGGCTTCCGTTTCCTCGAGTGTTACCTTGCGTTGCCAGAGCCAGGTCGTCGGCATACGCAAATTTGCAGGACGTGGTCGCGGGCATGTCACTGATGTAGAGGTTGAACAGGGCTGGTGCTAGTACGGAGCCCTGAGGGAGACCATTTTGTAGCATGCGTTGGCGGCTGGTTTTATTGCCAAGGTGCATGCGGAACTTTCGGTCGGTTGGGGCACATCTAACAAGGTTGCTCAATTTCAAGAGGAGGCCATCCCTCGACAGTATTGTAGGCCGCTGTAAGGTCTATAAATGCAGCGGCGGTCTTTCTCGTGTTGGTAAGGAAAGAGTGGTTAGTTTCTTGCACAAACGCTAATTTTAACTCATGAAAATATCTGACTCCGGTGGCAGACTTCCATCCGAGAAATTCCTCACTTAAGGGGTTAAAAATTGAAAGTTTCGCCTCCTTGGGAATTTCAGATTTAGCAACCACAGTTCTCCAGAGTTCCCACAAAACTGCAGAAGTCTTGGAGATGTGGCTGTCGCTCTCGTTTCAGAATCGCCCGCCTTTCGAGTACCAGACCTGAGGTATTCAAACTTCTCCAACTGTTCCAATTGGGTTCCCTTAACATGTAAAGGTACAAACTTCTGGGCAGACTGAGGAGTACGGGTCCGAAATCAGTGAGGACTACGCGTTCCTGTCATTTTCCTGTCAATACTTTTCCCATGCACAAAATAAAACTTGAGTTTATAAAATAATATAAAAAATACAACTTTAAAAAACAGATTGTGCAGAAAAAAAAGGCTACAGAAAATAGACAATTTAATTTTTTTTATATTCAGATCGTAAATACAGTAGTTAATTACAAATATTACTCTGTTGTGCTATCAGCTGCCTCAAGCATTAACACATTTTTAAAGCACAGCGTACTCTTCTTTTAACCCTTTGAGGACCATGAACGTACAGGTACGTCCATACTCCCGAAGGGTTAAAAAAAACTCGGTCCTCAAAAGGTTAAATGCCATGTCGAACGTAACAGGAATCCAGGGGTTTTGCTTGGGGGATTCCTTTTTTGAACTTCTATGACCTCTAGAAACCGAAGCCATATCTCCTACCCTCTACAACCGCATCTTAAAAAATTTCTCGCACCCTATTCCAATATCTGCATCGGTTCCACCCCAGGCACTTTTTTGCAGCCTTCCCTTACAACCTTTTCCTTTTACCATTTATCTTTCTTACAGTTCCATAAGGAATTTATCCATTTTGGGAACATAAACAACATTCTGCCCCTCAACACAGGGAAATAAATTTTGTGAATTCGTTTTGGGAACAATGTCACCTTTTGGGGCAATAAAGCATTCTGATCAACAGCGTCTTGTCTGATTTATTTGCTTGAAAACTTTGGATAGAAGCACAGCTTTTCTTTATCACCTAGTAAACTGCCTCTGATCCTGGTGGAACTTTTTCACATCTCTGTAGATTTTGGCCTTGTGGAGGTGCTTTGGCCTATTTCCGCTCGATGGGACTGCCTTAACTTGTTTCCGAAATCGACCCTTCTTGCTACTTGCTACCTCTGCACACCAAATTTCATAAATCAAGGAACATTCCAAATATCTGGCCCATGTCAACTGCGAAAAAGGTCCCTAAAAATTGTAAAGTAATTTCCACGATAAGATGAAGGAATCAATCGTCAATAATATGCATTCATAGTGATTCAAACTGTGACTTATTTTAAGCATGACTTTCTTGCATTACTTTTATGTTCAATTATAGTTAAATAGTAAACTGCTAGCTACTATAGGGCACTTTACTCAGGGCATTTTTCCACTTAGTCAATTCCTAAAAACTCTTCCAATGTTGCATGAAGGCAAAGGATACGAAGGTCAACAGCTGGTGGATCGGTGAAGCCAAATGACTTGGCAACCTGAGCCAGATCAAGGGTATTCACATCAAAGATGTTTTTCAAGTGATGAGAGTCATAGGCCCGGACATAGGCTTTGAATGCCTCCTTGGCTGACATGTGCAGGAAGTAGTTCTTTGATATCAACTTCTCCAACTAAAGAGGATAAAATTCCACTCAAGGAACGATGAAAATAAAGGGAGAATGAAAAATGGTCAAAGAATCCATAAGGAAAAGCAGTAAAAAAAAACAGTCCCTGGCTCACTTTCTCAAACCATTTTGAGAACAAACACAATATATTCCAGAATATTCTAGTCAAAATCCAATTCTAAAATCTTCATTTAAAAATATCAACCAGAGAAATTGAGAAGTCTACCTGAGATTGAATGTTGGCAATCTTGCTCCAAGAGAACTCAAACTCATTGAGAGGGACACGGGCTTGTTTCAAGTATCGAAGAAAGCCCACCTCCTCAGGTCGAAGGATGAGGAGGGCATGGCCTTGACCTCCCTCACCTCGAGCTGTCCTTCCCACACGATGGATGTACTCCTATCCAAGGCAAATAAAATGGCAAGCAAGACAATGCTTGGATTAATCAGGATCTGCAGTAAAGTATGGTGCCAAAAAAATTAGTGTTATACAGGGTGGTGCAAAAGTAGGTATACAGTTAGCTGTTTGATGACACAGATGCATTCAATGAGATTAATGAAAATAAGGTGACAGCCACCAGCTTGAACATCTTCCAGAATAGCTTCTAAATCTTTTGTAAATGAATAAACAGTTAACAGTATACCTACTTTTGCACCACCCTGCATAAGGGTGTATAGCATATATCTGTCTTTTCTCAGAATGTTGAAGTAATATATGTTTCACTGACCAAGGCAAGGTTATTTGTGGCAGGATACAATGTGTAGTGTAGCAAAAAAGGATAAACTACTCTTAGCCTAAATAACTTTACTCACTGGAACATTTACCACAAAGCCAGCTCTGTGCATAGGTAAATATGATTCTAACAGATCCATAAAATACCTTGCATCTTACAAATTCTTTCATTTGAGGCAAGGTTATCAGCAATTATTCAAAAGAAGTGCTGTGGTTATACAATAGGTGTTTGAAAAGTAATGCCAGTATGGGTATAACATGTTTATTTCAAATCTTACAAAAACAAAATTTGACACATTGCTAGAGGTGACATGGAGGAACAATTATCTACTTTTTTATGTAATTCCATTTGCTGCTACACATCTGCACCACATTCCAACCCAATGTTCAAATCCTCTTTTGCAAAATTCCACATCTATTTTCTTCAGCCACTCCTGTACAGCAGCCAGAATTTCATCATCACTATCAAATTGCCTTTCATGCCCAAGTGATTTTTACTTATTTGGGCCAATAAAGGATGGCTTGCATGGGAGAAGATGTTCCTTGCTTATCATCCAATCCACATAAAATTTTTCTTCCATTGAAATTCAGTCTTTGCACTGACCTTTTCCAGCAGACGATTACAAAATTTTCTTTGAATTAATGACCAAGAAGTTGGGACAGTACCTAAGTTTAGACACTATCACACACATCATTATGAAACCAAGCATTGGTGAGCTCTCCCTCAGAAATAGTTCTTTGCAGCTTGGAAGCTGTATCTAAAGGTGACCTCATAAATGCTCTGTTTTAAAACAATTTATTTTATGGTGTCCAAACTTAAGTACAGTCTGAACTTAGATGATTTTACCCTATTTGTCTGGAACATGTCAATCTATGCAGAGTGTAAGTCTTAAGAAAATAGCTTTAGAGAGGAAAGACAATAATTATGAATATATTTAAAAAAAACTGTCCCAAATCATCCCATATGATGGGGTGACTTGATGCACTTTGTGATCCTTAACCCCTTAAATGGACTCGCCGCATATGTGCGGTCTGGCACCTGCCATCTCTCAATGGAATCACCGCACATATGCCTTCAAAAGTTCCCAGTTAAGGGGCTAAATACAGGTTGAGTCAAAAGTCCTGTCCCATCGAAAAACACGTATAACTTCACTAAAATGCAAAATATATTCAGTCTTTCTAATCACAAGTAACAACAATAACCAATTGAACACATCACATCAATAGATCTCAATATGACCACCCTTGGCCTGAATGACAAGCTTCAGACGGTTCATAAAGTCATCTACCGATTTTTGCAAGGTGTCTTGAGGGATTCGCTTCCACTCCCGCCACAGGGCTAGCTTCAATGAATCCAAACTACGGTGACGAGTCACAATGACTTTACTCTCCAAATTGCCCCAGATGCTGAAGTCTAAGGGATTCACATTGGGGGAACATGGTGGCCATTGCACAGGACTGATGAATCCCGGAACGTTGTTCTGCAGCCACTACTGGGTTGTCTTCGCCTTGTGAAAATCGGTAGATGACTTTATGAACTGTCTGAAGCTTGTCATTCAGGCCAAGGGTGGTCATATTGAGATCTATTGATGTGATGTGTTTGGTAGGTTGTTGTTACTTGTGATTAGAAAGATTGAATATATTTGCATTTTGGTGAAATTATACGTGTTTTTTGATGGGACAGGACTTTTGACTCACCCTGTATGTAGAAACTGGTTGAAGCTAAAATACAGCAACATGCTAACATGATGAAACTATAATGTTGTGTTACATTGCATATATTTTAATCTCCTATTGGAAATAAAAGATGACAGAAACATATTTTTTAAATATCATATCAAGTCGCCCAAAGTAATAGTGCCTAAATGAAAACCAACTTGAAGAAGAAAAAGTACAGAGATCCATGTATGCTTCAATGTTTAGTGCTTGTGATTAAATGTAAGTTGACCAACTAAAAAATAAAACATGAAGACCAAGACATGACACTCCATGTCAGGTAGCTGACTTAGGCAACTCAGATGAGGCTTCACATAAAGCAAATTCAGAGGAATGTTTTCTTCATTGGGTCAGCAAACCTTGGGATCATCTGGAGGGTCATACTGGACAATCCAGTCCACAGCTGGGATGTCCAAGCCTCGAGCTGCCACATCAGTGCAGAGAAGGATCCCATTTTCTGCATTGCAGAACTGGAAAAATGTCGTTGTGCGCTTGTTCTGTTTCTGCTTCCCCTACAATAAAAAACCATCCATTCAGATCTTAAAACAAACCCTATCAAAACAGTAACAATATATTTCTGTAGACAGACATGAATGCTCATGACAGGCAGGTCAATATAGTTGAGCAGCTCATGGTGGTACTTGACACTCATGCAAGAGGAGAAGAACACCATCACTTTCTTCTTTCGGTTCTTCTTCAGAAACGTGAAGAGGAGAAGGAATCGCTTGTCTGATGGACAAACCACGTAACCTAGCAAAATAGCAGGCAGCATAATTTCAAGTTTTAATTTTCCATTTTCCTCTAATTTCAAAGTATTGCTCAACCTTCTGTGACCAACCAAATTTGGATGAAGTTTTATATGTCTGACGTATAGCCTAGGTAGAAAGCTCTTTTTGACATGACTGCTAACATTTTCCAAGCAGGTAACCCACTGGATCAGACAACTTTTGTATCATATCTGACACAACTGCTAACACTTCCTTGCTTCAAAATAACCCAGGTAAAAAAAGAAAAATTAAACAAAATCAGTAAGTAAAAAAAAAAATACAAATACCAGCTCTTTGTTGCTTTTTAGTTATAGCCAGTTTTTTGCATCATTACTTGTTAATTTCTGGCTGATAAATAAAAATTGGCTCACTCCAATGAAAAGCAATTTTTATTGGCTAAATTAATCAATTATGCAATTTTTAAATTTTATTAGTGTATATCCCAGACCATTTGTTCAAGTACATGTTGAAAAAGCTGTATATTTCATTTTAAAATATTGCAAATTTAATTCATTCACAAGCAATGCATAAGGAACCAAAATTTTTTGAAGTGTTACCTAATATATAGGACACCCTGTATATAATTTTGCTCCATGTATCTAAAAATATGAATCATTTAAGATGATTTATCATTTCAAAGTGAATTGTGAATAAATTTCTTTTAAAAGCAACTAACAATTTATATGTGGATTGAGCTTGGGAAGTGATTGGCAACTTAATTTACTAACACTGAACCATTGATCATGAGCCCAAAATTTCATTCATGGTAGAGAATAGACATGTCTTAGTTCAATCATGAAAAATAGACAATGTTCAATCTAAAGCATAGGAACACTACTTAATACAAAGATAACCACTTCCAGATGAAAAAAATGTACTGCCCAAAATTTACATTATCTGCAGCTTCATTCTTACCAGGAAATATTGAGGTTCATGGCAAATGCACTTTGCATAACTGTAGCTACATGGAGAGGAGAGAAAACTGGTCAAGACTTAAAAAGCCTCTACATGAATCAGGGCCTAGCACAAACCAGCACATTTAACATCAGACTTGCCAGAAGCCCACTTCAAAAACAAGCAGGAGGAAATTCAGTTTCCATATATTTGTTGAAAATTGAATACTTAGGCCTCTTATTATCAGAGCTCATCAGATGGATACTTAAAGTCCCAGATCCATCATGACATGTTCTATATTACAGTGATCTATCTTTTTCAAAGCTTTCTTTCATCCAAGTTGTTGATTTATCTAGTCTGCTGCTTTTGGGCAGAATATTTTATATGGCAGTCAAATTTTCGCTTACCTAACTGCCAAGGACAATGCTATATTGCTATATACCATTTTTGCTCTTAATTCTTAAGAATAAATAAAGAAGGCACCTAAGCCCTCATAGTCAAGCCAATAAGACATTTCAGTGCAAATACCAAATCAGATAAGTATCACCAGGAAATATACAGGGGTGCCAAGAGGTTTTGAAATTGAATTTTTACCAAAAAAAAATGTAGTATGTGTTATGAGAGCCCTGGTCTTTACTGTAATTGGGGTAATATTATCACATTATCTTTTTGCTTTTTTTCTGCATCATTTGTCTCATTACTATTGTTCTATTAAAATCACTGTGATTATAAAATGATTCATACAAAGCATCTCATATTTTTCATACATATTGTTCAAAAGCTGGACAATTTACAATAACTGTTGTCTGATGTCACCACTCATAGTTTATTACATGTAAAGCTCAGTAGCTGAAATTTTGCACAAAAATTTGTCACTGAAAGGATTAAAGGTGCAGTGAAATTTCCTACCCATGTTCAAATTGCACATGGAAAAACATGCACAAATGGTCATGCCTTATTACAGGTGGTTCAAATGGTTTTAAGATGATAGGAACAGCATTAATGATGAACCCTATGAAGGTTACCAACTGACAGACCTGGAATTTATTGATGGGTGTAATTCAGAAGATTCATCACCTTGGAATCACTTAACTTACTGGTACACCTTCATGAGCAATGGTGAATTGTTCTAATATGCAACTTAAGGTAAACCATGGATCTCTTTTAAAATCTTCCCCCCATTTGAGACAAATCTTAGCATTTACCACACACTACAACTTCATTGCAATTAAAGTAAAATGTAACGCAACCACAAAGAGAGAAAACAGAGATATGATGGAACTTTTGCAATATTACTCCAATTACAATAAAGCCAGAACTCTCATATATAAGGGTCATTCAAGGTTCATGTGCACTTATTATTCTAAGAAATAAAATATTTATAGATTTTTGCATTTTTGTACAATGATACTGTCAACCCTTAGCAACCACTGTAGAAGTGACATCATTGCTACACAAAATGTACAGGGTATAACAAAGATGGCAACAACCATTGTAACGTGCTGTATCATTGAGTTTCTGATGAAGAAGAACATCAAATCTGTCAAGATTCACAGAAGATTATTAAAACAGTTCAGTGATGCATGTCCCTTTTGTAGATGCATGTTTAAATGTTGAAGCAAGTTAAACAATGGCTGTGAATCTGTGACCAATCTTGACCATGCTCAAATGAAGTCAACTATTCTGACTCCCATCAACATTTATCAGGTTGAACAGTTAATTTTGGAGAATTGCTGCATTACTGCAAGCAATATTGCAGCAGAATTGAATGTCAGTGTTGGAAGTGTGAAAACCATTGTTCATTCTCATCCGAAATTCAATAAGGTAAATGCAAGGAGGGTTCCAAAGGACCTCACGTTCGATCAAAAGACAACTCATGTGGCCATGGCAACTGAGCACCTGGAACATTACCAGAGGGAGAGGGTGGCTTCTTGAACAAGATTGTGGCATGTGAGGAAACCTACATCCACCATTTAACCCAAGCCAAAATAGGCAAGCATGCAGTGGGGACACTCTTGGTCCCCACCGCCGAAGAAATTCAAGGCTCAGCTGTTGACTGAAAAGGTTTTGGCAATGATGTTTTGAGATATCTGGGGCTTAATTCATGTGGATCTTCTTTCCCACAGGAAAAATCATCACTACTCAATACTAAAATGACTTGTTACATCATGCAGGGAGTAAAGCATTACACAATCAACAGCCAGGTATGTTATCTCAGGACATGACATTGCTGTATGATAATGCTTATCCTCAGTCTATTCTACCACTGCCACTCTGTCGAAGAAGAGGTGGGAAGTTCAAAACTATCCCCATACTTGTCACCAATTTTCAGAGTGACAAGGACATAAAAGCAAATGTATTGAAATGGCTGTATGCCTGTTGAGGTGATTTCAATGCAGATGGCATTAAGGTGCTACTGCACTGATGGGACAAGTGCTCATGTGTAGCAGGGGGATACCTTGAAAAATAGGTGATGTTTCATAAACTTCCATTTTCTTTTAGATTTTCTAGAAGTGCATGTGAACCTTGAACGACCCTTGTACATACAGCATGACAGAAATGTTTCTAGTTTTTGAGATGAAAACTCATTTTCATAACTTTTTAAAACCCTATTGGTATGATGGGATCAATAGAAAATGAAGCCACAGTGCACAATATGCAAGAACAGTGATATACAGTGACACCTTCACAGATCACCAGAAGAAGTTTTGAATTTTTTATATTTTTCTTTTTTCCAAGGATGGTTTCAAATTTCTCTATAGGAGACTTTTCAACACAACACACCTTGCTCAAGTCCCTCAACAGTGGCCTTGTCACGCTGATCATCAACCCCAACATAGGTGGGCTCCTTCTTCAGGGCCAATTTAACCAAGTCCTCTGTCTTCTGGGTCTGAGTTGCTGAGAACAGCATTGTCTGCCGACGCTCTGCAAAGGATTTTGTCATAGCATGCACACCAGGGAATGAATTCCTTGGCTTTTCATAAAAGGGAATGTAAGCCTGTGGTTCCCATCTGCATCATATGGGAACCTCAGGGCATCTGCAAGTCATTTCTTCAGGGCTGCCCTCCTCTCTGGAGGTCAGGAGAAGGGTTTTGCATCATTGGATAGGCAAGCAAATGAAAGAAAATTGCAAGCACAAAAACCCCACAATCAGCTTGAAGAGGAGCTTGCCCAATTTTGGTTCCAAAATCATATTTGTTAAATACAGGGTATTCACAAATTACCTTTAAAAAGTTAGTCTCATTATTTTGAAATGAATAATGATAGAAAGGTGAAACAATCACCAAAAATGCAGAAACACTTTAGGTTTTGTGTTGCATGAATAATAAGTTCATATTCTTTCTTCTAGTGATGCAGGAGTCATGTAAACAACAAAAGTGATGAATTTTACAAGAGCCAAGTCATTTTTCTATGTGGAACAATCACTAATGGTACCTAGACATGCTCAAGAACTTCCTAATACCACAATTGGATGAGGACATGGGCAACAACATTGTCTTCCAACAAGATAGTGTCCCTGCACATTTCCATAGTGTCTGAAACATTTCTTGAACTAAAAGCTCCTAGGGCATTGAATCAGCTGTGGAGGCCCATTCTCACCTCCATGATCACCAGGTCTCATTCCTCTGGATTTCTGTTTATGGGGCTTGGCTAAAGACAATGGCCCGTATGCAAGAACCTATCACTTGATAGCCTATTACATGATAACTATCATGATGGGTATCAGGCAATAGGTCGATAATTTGCTCAGTTCCATATGCAAGAACAATTTATAGGTATCCATCATGAGGCCTATTTTATTTAGGTATAAAATACCTATCATGATAGGTATTTGTGAATTTTCCTGATGACAACCTCCTATCCATTGTCCACCCAGGAACAATGCCATGTGTTTCTGCGCACGAGTGTTGTGTGATTATTCAATGGTATTAATCTGACCCCATTTACCAGACTAGTGATTGAATTTCAATTGCCATGGCTTGATACAAAGATTTCCATGGGATGTAATCTATCCCAGAGTAACTCCACTCAGCACAAGTTGCGACGGTTCACATAACTAATTGGGTTAGTAAAATGTACTGCAATCCACCCTGGTAGCTCCTTATATAAACAGAATAAACAAGCTCTGGATCAAAATAGATTGAAATGATTCTTATACCTATCATGGTAGATAAAAAATGTTTCTGCAAATGGCCAACCTATCAAACTTAACATATGATACCTCCCAAAATAGCTATTTTTATCAGTTTTATACATTCTTGCACACCAATGTGCAAAAACTTCCTCAGCTGACCAGCATCAAAGAGCTCAAGAATTGGATACTAGTGATAGAGTCCAATGTGGAAAAAGACATGCTCAAAAGAATTTGGCAAGAAATCAAATATCACTGGAGTTTGAGCTACATCATGTGCAGAAGTCACATTGAAAAACTCTTGGGAAAATATTTCTGCATCTTTTGGTTGTTGTTTCACATTTCTATAATATTTGTTACAAAGTCGTAAGACTTGCAAGTTGTAAAAATGATTTAACACCATGAACATAAGCAGTCAACTCTCATTTATCTGGAAATCAGGGAAATGGCAAATATTATGCAATTATTAGCTTATCTGGATTATTGAATAAAATTCAAAATTTCCTTTGCCTTGATTCACTAAAAAGTTATTCATGCATGTCAGATCACACTGAAAACACTCATGACTTGACACTATAAGAAACTTGAAGAACTATTGACAAGGATGAATGAGACCATTTGGGGAAGGGAAATGACAACAAAAAGTGAAAGTCTCTATGACCAGAGCAATCCCCATTACTTGATTTCAGGAAAGGAAGAAAACGAAGGTGACAAAGGTTTCTTTTTCCAGTCTCTCTCTTTCTCTAATTAAGCGGGGGGTGGAGGAAATGAACAGGAAAGAGGCTGAGTGGGAATACTCTTTGGGCCTGAGGGCTACAGCCACAAAGAGTCTTACTTAACATTCCAGTATATAAATGATTTAGTGGCACTCGATAATAATTTTTTGAGTGAAATATCATCTATATATACACAGATTGTACAGAGATGCATGACAGAACCTTTATTCTAAGATTCTTTCAGGAATTTCTAGTCTAAAAAATGAAAAATTGCTTGTAAATAACAAGTTCAAGAATAAATTAACTTCTGTTTTCTTTAGCAATAGACCAGAGCTTCTTACGTACTACCATGCACACAGTCTTGGAGTAAGACAACCTGCACCATGTGGTGCTTTACACAATCCGGTGAGGGAGCCTCCAGTGAATGGTGTCTTTTCCATGTCTGTTACCAATACCTCTGCCTGAGCTGAAGACCAAGCCAAAGAGGAGAAGACCATTGTGAGGGGCCTAATCAAGTAGGTTTTTCATGGCAAGAGTAATTTGAGCATTGCTCAAGATCTTCCCATTCCAGTCTTGTGTAGCCAGTATTTCATGCTTTCCCCAGGCTTAAGGATAGACTAGATTTTATACTTCACCTGACACCACACGTTGGGGGACTAATGAAAACATGCCACACCATAGAGAAGCAGTTGCTCATAGGCTTGCCAATGACAATGTCATGGCTTTGCTCAAAAGAGACAGCACTGATTTTTTTCTCAAGTTTGAGTTCAACAATATTCACTTGACTCCAATCTTTCCAATCTCCATCACCCACTTTCATCCAATGATTTTGCAGTTGATTAAAATCCTGTCAGAATCAAGTGATAAAACTAACAAACTCAATGGAAAATGGTGTTGTCTCCACCAGTTTGATGTACTGATGTGATTCTTCCTAGAGATGAACAAAGAAAAGAGATCACTTATGAAAAGTCTTTATTTCCCTCAACCATGACTGCAGACCATCATGATAGGGAAATTGTGTGATTTCTGATTGGTTCTCAGTATTTGCCTGGTCAGAGCACTTGCACTTGACATACAGAGTTGATCTAACATTACCCCCTTTGCATCCTGTGTCCATATTTTTGACAGAATTTTTATTTATTATTCAATATTCATTCATTAGAGGGGAAAATCCAATTTTCAATACATAGAGACAAGATGGAAAGCAGATAAGCCACTAACAATGAATTCAAAGAAACCATTTGAGGTGGTACAGCTGACATTTAAAACACATACAGGGTATGGCAGAAAAAAAGAAAGACCAGTGACTCTTAACTAATACGAGGTATATCCCCTCTCCCAGGGAAGCAATTTATGCGAAACTTTCATTGAATGTATACATTTCCAGCATGTCCTTAAAATTTATTCTCAATTCATTCCTCAAAGGCATATGGTTAAGTCTGGTCTCCAAAGCCAGAGCTATTGTGTCAATGTTAACTTAGTCCCTTATCAAAAGTCACATAAGAAATCTAACTTTCACTGAAGACCTATTTTCACACAGGAACCAGAAAACAAGTGCCTGGGATGGGACCATAAATTTGCAAATAGGGATGAATCTCCAATGGAGATTTGATGGCAGTAAAAGTTTAAATATATTTTCACTCAATTAAATTGTGAGATTCTCTAGAAAGTGATGAGAAATGAATGTGTATGACTCACTGGGGAGAAGCTTGATGATCTGTTTCATCTCCTCCTCGAAGCCAATATCCAGAATTCGGTCAGCCTCATCTACGATAAGGCACTGGAGGTTCTTAAATACAAATTCCTTGGTGTTGGTCAGGTGGTCCAAAAGACGTCCTGGTGTTGCCACCACAAAATTCACACCTAGTACCACCATCAACAATTTTCACATTAAAGATCCCTTTGAAAATTTACTGTGAGATGCTACATTCCTTTGACTCACTTAAATATGAAACAATCAAGTGACTGATTGACTCCCTGAATCAAATTAAACATTCTTATGCATGTGTACTCTGTCACAGTTCTCTGGCGGTTTCTGTTACAGGTGTAACAGAAACTCCCAAAGAAGCAGGCATAATAACCAAGACTCAAATTTCAGGCTCAACCTTCATAAGCACAGTTAGGGCTGTGTGATATGTCATTTAAAGAGACTGATATTGCCATTATCATCAATCTCTTAAGTTGGATAAAAAGGCACAAAGAAGAACCTCTGGATACAGATGGGAATCTGGTAGTATTGAGTCCATATATGGCATAAGAAATTTAGCTTTTTGCTAGTGACTAGATCATAACCTTTAGACTTTTTCATGGAATAGTTACCTTTATTTAGGTCATTCCATGTCAAATCACCCAATGAAACATGGATTTTTGCAGGGTACCCTCTCAGAAATTGATGACATTTGGTGTGTAGGTTTCTTTCAGGAGAAGAGAAAGACTTACCTATTTTTTCCGCTTTCTGACCAATTGTTCCAAAGTTATGCGCATACAAAATTTCAGAGGCAGAGCTTGACCTCCCATGAGAATATGGGTATAAAATCTGAAGTTATTGTCCAATTTCAATAAGCAAGGTGTCCTTTAAAAGAAAAAAACTAGGGATATTCCAAAACTTCATGCCTCCAAATGACTTGGAAGGGCAAGAGCAACAATAGGAACACAACAATATCTGAAACTACCATTCATTAAGTCAAACAAGAAGCAGCCAAGGTTAGAAATTTCTACAGAAACACAGTGATTTCTGAAATTTATGGAAATATAAAATGCTTTTGCAAACACATAGTTGGGAGTTGTGTCTCTCCAATTGAGGAAGAAAGAGATTTAGCAATGAATCACAACACCTGAGCATTTTGGTTTGTGGACCTTCATAGAAAATCTTGTTCCTAATTCAAGCAGGTCTGATGAGACTGGAAAATAGTCTTCTCTTCTCCTCTTATGAAACCTTTTCTTTGTGTGCACCACCTGGTGACACTCATACTTGAAGAGTTAAGTGAGAGGTAAATTAAAATCATACTCCTTCATGATTCCCATTGGAATCTTGATGGGATGTGGTTTTACTCCTAGATTTCCATAGGAATCCTATAGGATTCCCATTGGAATTTTCTGTAAGGATATCCGAAATTACTATAGCACTAATCCAAGCAAGAAAAAGCCATGCCACAAAAATATATTTGGTCTCATGTTCAGTTTTTCCAAGGACATATAGACATGAAGTGCCCAGCTTGAAAATTATTTGTGGGATAACCAAAAAATTATATCAATGAAACTTTTCCATACTCTAGCTAAGACATAGGTGCTTTGACGATAAAATTGCATTAGTTTTGATTTGGATCCACAAGGTCATTTTCAAGGTCAAAAGTCACTCAGATGTGAAACTTGTTCAAATATTTTTAAATCTTGTTTTTTATTACATTTTTGGGATCACAAGTTTTCTCTTTTCAAGGACACCTTGTTTATTGAAATTGGACCATAACTTCAGATTTTATACCTATATTCCTCCAGGAGGTCAAGCTCCATCTCTGAAATTTCATATGCACAAAACTTTTGAAAAATTGGTAGTATAGTGGAAAAAACCAGCAAATTTTTTTCTTCTAAAAGAAACCCACAACAAATTTTATCCATTTCTAAGAGGGTACCCTGTATTTGATTGGGTGCTTTGACATGGAATGACCCATTTTGTAAGAAAAGGGCCAAGGACATGAGGGCCTGAAAGGAGGGAGGGAATACAGACTAGACAAGACTTATGACCATGTATGATGAAAAATTCACTAAACTTAGTGGTATAAGTAATTTAAACAGTAAACAGACTCAGTCAAATGATTGGCATCAAGAGTAGGTTTAGAGCAAACCTTCAATAAGGTAAAAGAGAAAAAGGAGAAAGGGGAGGGGAAAGATGTACCCTTGGCAAGCTTCTGTGCTTCTGCTTGTCGGTTGGCTCCACCCATGATGAGGCCATGAGTATGGCTGTGGTGCTTGAGCAGCTCAGCCAGGACTCCATATGTTTGCATAGACAGCTCTCGGGTTGGTGAGATGATCAGACATCCTGTTCCTATTAAGATACAGGAACAACAAATGTTTTTTATTTTTCTCTATTAAAAATGGGCCAGGTACCAAAGCTGATACAAGACTATAGTAGATCTACAAAGGGGGTGCCTACTTGGGTCAGGCATCACATCCAACTTGAGACCCTCAGAAAGGGGCACTCTTCTATGGTCTTGTGGAAAACCTCAGGTCAGCTCATGGATAGCCTGGGCCCATGACAAGCATGGCTGACTTTTAAGGCATACAGGTCACATTCCACATCAAATCAACACAAAGAAAAGATCAAATTGACCTGATCCTTTCCAATTTTGTTGAAACTGTGGACTTTTAGGGTCCACTGGGAAAGTGATCCACACTACATTTCAGCATACTTAGTCAAATGCTTCATGAAGTAATGCAATTTAAATTTTGTCAAGATGAGCCAATTTATAATTTATAGATCATCACCCAATTGCCCACAAGTTCTGTCTGTTCATGAAAATGAAGGACAACTGACATTTAATTTTGGAGAAAAGGTCTTAACTGAAAAAAAAACGACATTCAAACTGTGTAAAAAAGGTCAAACCTATCAACCTTGAACCTTTCATTTTCATTCAACACACAATATACAAAAAAGGGCATTAAAAGAGCTTGAAAATGACACTAATTTCAACTCTGCATTAATTAGGACTGAACTTATGGGCACCTGGGTGATGATCACCAAACCAGAAATTGGCATTTATAAGCAATATTCAATTCACAGTACTTCAAAAAGCAATTGACCCAGGAAGTCAAAACACCCATTTGGTGTGGATTAGTTTCTCAATGGACCCCACAAGTCCACAAATATTCATCAAAATCAGAGGGGGCCAGGTATATGGCTGCATAGATTTCACATGGAATGACCCATACTGCTCTTATATCTCCTAAACATGGCATTGGTGTAATAATAATATTTGGAAGATCCCCCCCTATAAAACATTTGTGCCACCTATTGGTAATTTAAAAGTCAGAAATCCTAACCACTTTGCCAAATAACTTATCTGATAAGCATATAACCACGTCAAGCCATAAATATAGTATTAACTGTTTAGTAAGGTTTCCAGATGTTTACAGGAGAAAAGAAAGAAGAGAAAATTGAGGAATTAGAATTTAATTGTCTCCTGCATTTGAACCTGAGTAACTTAAAGAAAACAAACAAGTGTTCATATATCCAGATGAACATATTACATTTTCAAATAATCCTCTAGCAGGGGCTCAGTGATTGGTGTCATCTAAAACACTGGAGGTCAGAAAAGCATTTTCTTCAGAGCTTACAGTGCCACCCAGCAATGTTAGGGTACCAACTGTTTTCTCTTTTGCTCAAGCATAGGTCACCCTGTGTTCCGTGACATAGAAAGCAGAGTTTTAGTGGAGCTAGTGCCAAAATGACATTAACCCATTATTTAAAAGCATCCCAAATTTGAGAAAGTGAAATTTTGTGCCCTCATTTTTTGGTGAAAACGGTTATGTAAGCATTGCCTATTCTCCTAGACTATCTTATGCTCTAGTGTGAAATCTCGGAAAAATTCCTATAGTTAGAGTTTTTGGAGGCAATTTCTTGAGATGATCTACAATTTAGGTGATCTGGAATAGCACTGGAAACTACCACATGTCAGCTTGACCATGTCTAATTTTGATTTAAAAATCAACAGAAAAATATGCATATTTTACTTTAAGGAATTCTTTTTACCCTTTCTTGACATCTTCCACTGTTCTCCTAATAAATGACCAACTGATATCCATTTTTGGTCACTAACAGAAACCCATAATAGAACTGCAGAAGTGCTTCAGCAATAACTTAGCTCTGGATGAAGACAGAAGCTTCATTCTGGCATCACTTTATTAGCAAAATTGATATCTTCAACATGGTACAGCAAACTAACCTTGAGGAGAGACTTAAAAATTTTACTTAGCCCACAAGTTTGATCAACGTGATTTATCAAACTTTCTGATGATTCCAAAACCTTGTGGCATCTAAAGGGAATAAAGTTTTTTTTATATAAATTTATTTGAATTATTGCTATAAATCCTTAAAATACAAAAGAAATAAAATATGAAATTTAATATCAATAATAAATAATTTCAAATAAGTATAACTTAAATACAATCAAATTCCAATACTAATTTAAATACTTACAGCTACATGTGATTTAAAAAAAAAGTGGTAGTGATATTGAGCCTGTAGGGCATGCTTATGCCAATTTTCAACTCAGTGTAAGAACTTGGGTATTAATGGGTTAAAGCACATTCTCAAGACTCAAGAATATGTTATATAGGTTAGTTCCAAAGTTACTGATATAACACTTGACTATAAATAAAAACATGTATGATGGGCTGGAAGAGGGATTGAGAAATTCTACTTCAACAGTACCTCATAAAACATAGATACTTGCACTTATTTCAGCCCAAAATGTTTCATTTCTCCCAAGAAAGAAGAAAAGTAAGGCCATTCATATGGTGTTACTGACATAACAAACAACAGTTTTTGTTTTGCTGCTTCCCTTCTAATTTTGTCTGATTTGGCTCAACCTGGAGCTTCCATATTTTCAAGAAAGAAGGCACAGACCTTTCCTCATGTCAAGTGACATTAATTGCTGATTTAAAAAAAGTGACTAGGAGAGTTTTCCTGCATTACTGATGTAGCAAAATTGTCAAATACAAAGTTCACAGGGCAAGTGCTAAATTAATAATACAAAAATGGAGAGCTGCAGGAGAAATGAGACACCATCTCATGTCAGGTGATGTATGTTTAGTGCATCCCTTACTTAGTCCAAGTTTAGTATCTATACAATGCAGAAAAATTAAGCTGGAGAGAATTTTTGTAAAACATTTTGATACCACTTTTTTCCTAATTACTATATAAATACCCTACAGGGTGGGCCAAAAAAAAAAAACAAAGCTGTCATTTTTGGTGAGCCATCAATCTCATTGTAGGTTGTCGATTCAGATTAAATTTGGAAGGCATATAGGGTGACACAATTGGAGTTTTTAGGCCACATTTCAGCCTTTTGGCTTAAAATTATAGTAGCTGTAACTATTTCCTGATAACTCATGACAAAATGTGCTGTCAAAAGTAGAGATATGAACTTAAGGCTGGGATGAAAGGGAGGGCTGAATTCATGCCTTCCATCTCTGCATGATGCTATAGAGTAAGATTGGGAGGCATTGCCTCAAAGATTTATTGACTGAGCCATTGATCTGTGGCATCCCAGACTAAAGGCTTGCACTGAACAGAATGGATGGCATATTGAGCGCTTTTTCTGTTGAAATGAACCTACCTAAACCAAATTGTATGCTTTCGTTTTAGGCATTTGTGCATTTTGATTTTGTTCTGTTTGTTGGCTTGTTCGTTTCTGCCAGTTGTGAGAAATTTTAAATTCCAATAAAAATTGAACACTTACTTTTTTAGTGATGAAAAGTAAATTAAATGCCAATCTCAGAGTTTTTTGGAATTTTGTGTTGAAACTCAGCACACAAACCTGAATTGAGTCACCCTATGTGTCTACCAAACTTAATAAAAATCAGCAGCCTGCAACATGGGAAATTGCCTCCATTTCTAGACTGCATCACCCCTTCACTAGTGACTTTTGTTTCATGAGGATGAAAGAATGAGGGTGGAAGGAAACAGGACAGACCATTCCTGGGAAGGAACTTGAGTTTGTAGATTAGTTCCACAGCAGGGATGAGGAAGGCAAGGGTCTTCCCACTTCCTGTGCGGGCTGCACCCATGAGGTCCCGCCCCTCAAGGAGGTGTGGGATAGCCTTGGCCTGGATCTCTGTCATGTGGGTCAGCCCCATGTCTGCAACTGCCTTCAGGGTTGCCTTTGACACAACACCCTGAAGTGAGGCAAAGGACTGATCTGACAGTATTCCTCCCAGCCCAGTGCTTGTGCCTGGCACTAGAAATCAAGAAAATTCTTGATTCATTTAGAAAAATTAGGCATAGCCTGAAAAATGCATGAGAAAAATTGTGCATGAAACTTCATTGGCCTAATTCACAGAAGAAAATGAGAACATGTCTACAGCATCTCAAAATGCCTCATAATTTTAATGTACCCTATCCATCACTAGAACCCTCACATCCATGCCAGTACCATGGCTCCCGGTGCTAGCAAACACAGCACCTCCATCTCTTCACCAAGAAGTTGTGGCATCAAGGGAATATCACCATTATGCTAACAAGAACCTGCCCATCCATGAAGACCTCAACAACCTGCCACCACCTTGTCTCAAATCAAGGAAGCCATTCTGGGTTACTGCAGGTACTCTCCATCGAACACCGTACAGCCTAGAGGACCAATGGAGGAATGCCTGGAACAATTCTAATGTCCCAAACAGAGACCTAGTCTTGGAGCTGACGCAACAACCTCTAGGAGTGTCACTTCCCCGCAAACAGGGGTCTACCATCAACCGCATCTGCACCGGACACAGGAGGTGCGGCCACCTCTTCTATAGATGGAAAATTAAACCATATTCATCATGTGATTGTGGAGCCCCAGATCAAACCCTGCAACACATCATGACACATTGCTCAAAGAGAAAATTCTCTGGTAGCCTGCAGGACATACATCACCTGACATCTGAGGCACTATCCTGGATAACACACTTGGATATAGACATTTAAGATGCTACTCAATGTCCATATAAAAGAAGAAGAGTACCCTATCTATCCAATTTCTATAGCAATCATACAAAAATAAACTTAATACATATACCTATCTTAACTTTCCAGGATTTTAATAAACTATGGGAACCAACGAATATAAATTAGCATGTATGGAATTGATGAATGCACAGCATGAAATACCCAATGCCAATTCACTGGCTTTTCTATATGGTGCAGGTGAGTGGGACCTCAGGAGGGAATAGGAAGTGAAGATGCATCTGAGTCAAATTCCCTCATACATTATCATTTTGCCTTTACTTGCTTGGTTTGTTTATGGGCCTTGACATAATTAGATTCTGGCTGGTAAAGGTTCATCCTAAGTAAGTGGTTCTCAACCTGTGCATCATAGCACCCAGGGGTGAAATGAGAGGTACACGGGAGTACCATGGGCTTGGGAAACTTTTCATTTTACATTGTGAAAGGAGGGCAAGAAGGATGTGAGGAAGCATCCCCTTTTACTCATGCAATGGGGGAGTGATTCCTAGAACTGTACAGTGAATTGCTCATGGAAAACCAAATTCAAGGTGAAATTATTTCTGGCTTTGGGAGCATACCATCAAGGATGGTATGCAGAGGCTTGTGATAAAACTTTTCAGTCCCCTCACAAAATCCTTGATGCTGCAGCAATGAAGACCCTGTAAACTCAGGTCCCCTTTGAGGATTATAAGTGGCTTACATTAGTTTATTTTAAAAATTGATCAGTATCTAGATTTTCTGTCAGAATGGCAGAATAGATATTGCACCGAAGGAAAATAAATATAAAATGATGAGCTTAAAAGAATCTGTCGGTCATCCTTTTGAATGATACTTACAATAAGCCTTCTCACAAATAAGTATTGTGATCCTGGCTTTCATTGATTTTTTTTAAAACAACTGATTTTGATTGCATGACCCATGAAACAGCATCTCAAGCTTGACCCATACACATAACCTCTTGAATGCTGATCTTTATATCTCCTGCCAATGATAAGTAGCATTGAAAGTGGGGGGCATTAATGATATTAATTAGCATGCATGTACAGTGTGTCACCAAGACTCAAAACAAGAAACAGCAGCATATAACTTGCAATCATCCTTCTCCCATGAAATCAACTCTATGAAACAAATAATTATGCATGGCTCACCTCACACTGGGGATACATTTTTTAAAAGCCCCACAATTTTAAATGAGAGAAAAGCAAGGGACTCACAAAGAATATTCAAACTAAGCCCTTTGTTAAATAAATGAATAATACGTAAATTTCTCCTACAACCTAGCAAGATGGCTGACTCAATATTCTTTGAACCTGAGAACTTTCCCCAAGTAACCTATGACAATGCTGAAACTCACAAGACAAATCATCAGTATTTCCAACCCTCCTTTCTGCACCTCCTTCATCTTTTTCCTCCTCAGATTCTCCTTTCTGTTCATTTTCACTTCCACCTTCTTCACCTTCTCTAGCTCCATTTACCTTGTCCTTGCTCAACTCTCCAGATTCACTGCTATCTTCTGCTTTGTACTCTTCCTCTTCTGTCTTTTGCTTCTTGGCTTCATAGAAACAAATAATTTGCATGATGAAGAACTTGTCTGACAAGGTATACAATATCAAATATCAGTCTATCTGTTTTGGTCAGGCTCATTACATCAGTGAAACCATCATTGGTTTGATTATCAGAAGAAATTATTCATCATACCAAGCAACAAGAGAATGTGTTCATAAGAACAGAGGAAATACCTGCAATAGGAGACTCTTGTTTTGTCAATTTTCTCAAATTCTTTTTTCCCTGGTATTCAGACTTGCAGGAAGTTGAACCCCCAGAACTTATGGAATCAGACTTTCCTGTAGAGATACAAGGTCATACAAATCATTACAAACGAATCAAGGTTGGACAAAACATAACCAATGAATTACTTCAAAACAACAGCAGAGAGAGAGAGAAGTGGTGTTGTTCATCAATCAAACATACTCCTCTTATTGCTCGAAGGCAGAATAGTCATACACTATATGGACAAAAGTGAACAGCCATCCATACTCAACAATCCCAGAACACACACATGATCATTGCATCTCTCATTAACATGGATCAAATCTGCTTTGACTTGGATGATGACCTCTACCCTTGGTAGGACATCTGCAAGCTGCATACCACATAGTTCCAGAGGGCTTATAGGTTTCCAGATTACCGTTTCCTTTATTTGCATGGTGGGCATTTGTCTTTGCCCATATGGTACATGACAGCCTCCTGTTCACTATAACAGATCTGAAAACAATCTTATAATTCAATCATGAGATTATAATTTTCACATTGGGTCCCATATGGGGCAGAGTTTCCAAAAGACTTGAGTGAAAGAAGCTTCTTACACACCTAATATGAAACTAGATATGATTTTACATTCTTAGTCATTTCATAAAGACAAAAAAAGGTAAGGCTTTCAAAGTTGTTACTGAGCAAACTGGAATTCCTTTCACAGTCAACAAGTGATCAATATAAAGTAAAAATCTGTGATACAAATCAACTGTTGCAAGTAGACCCTGACAGAAGTAACAAAATGTGGGAGGCTAACTGGGAATGGATGAGTGTTTGGCCTTTTGTGCCAGTTGAAGCTGTAAACGTCTCCTTTCCCGAGACTTCAGCTTACGTTGGAGAATCTGCTCATGCAATGTCATCTTTTTTCATCACTCAATTACCTGGAATAAAGAACGTTTCCTGTACCAAATCACAAACTGAAAGACTTGGTCCCTTGTTTTTGACTGAATCATGACTGCAATGGGGAGTTTCTGCCCATGGTCACACACCTGAATGACCACCAGTGAATTGCTATCACAATTCTGAACTTTAGATGTCTATTACTCAAAGAGGTTTGAGAGCATAAAATTTCCTTTTATTTCCTTTCTCTTTCAAGTTCACTGAAGAACATAAGAACTGGGCCCAGTCAGCAAAATTTATTGGCTGATTGTAGGAGTGGTGCACATAGCCTGCTACCCCATCGGCTCCCCAATTTCAATTACTCTGTAATCTCTATGTAATGGATTGCTGTTGATTTGACTTCTAACAAAAATTACTCTTTGAAAACATGAGGACCTTACTCAGATGTACTAGGAAAAAAAGCTTACAGGTAACTTTCCCCCCTCTCCCCCCAATTTTGCAAAAAAAAATATGATCACAAGGTAGCTGATGAGAAGCAAGAACAGAATCTGACTGGAGCAAGACAAAATCCTGACCAGGTTTAGCAAAAAAAATTTTTTTCCCATCCCTTACAAATTTACGTATGTGTGCACATTTGCCATTCCACTCTATAATAGGGTCAACACAAAAAAAGCCACAAGGACAGGGGAGAACTATTCATCGATGGAGCCACTGTCCTGGGTCAAGCCATTTGTTAGGCTGGCCAATGAGGAACTCTGACCCTCATCTGGTTCCTGGTTCGCCTCATCTTGGGCATAACGCAGCCGCTTTGAAGTCCGTGGAGGCAGTGGTCCATCCACCAATCGTTTGTTGCTATTACTGCTATTATGGCCATTGTTGCTGCTGGAAACAGAGAAGTCTTGGTTGTTGGACTGCCGCTTGCGAGCAGAACGCGTCCGCATGCCATAGCACGCAGCATTGTTGCTATGATGGTGGTTCTTCAACCCAGAACTATCAGGTTGCTCTGTGTCAAGTTGGCTGTATTCCAAGTCATACTCCACACAAGCAGCAGCATGCGATGACTGATCACGTGAACTGCTCACCAGTTCTGACTGGGTTCCCTCTTCTGAATCCATAGTTGCATCATCTGCTTCAATTGCCTGTGAGGATTCAGCTCGAGTCTCCTCCTCCTCCTCTTCCTCCACCTGCACCTCCTCCTCTAACTCTTCCACCTCTTCGCCATGTCCTTCACTGGCTGACTCTTGAGTCTGTACCTCATCCTCACCCTCATCAATGTTGTTATTTTCCTGTATCTCCACTTCTTTGGGTATATCTTCAGGCTCAAGCATTTCACCCTGTTCTATGGACTCATCTGGATCAATGGCTATGGGTCCATTTGTGAGCTCTTCAATATTGGCTGCAGCTGGTTGAGTAGACTGAGTCCGCCTCAAGGCCTCATTGTCATGGATCAACTGCTCCACTTGGTCCTTAGTTTCTTGAAGCTGTTTCTGCAGGTAGTAGATAGTGCTCTGGAGTCCCTCAACATCCTCATCTAGCTCACTCAGGAACTCCTCCAGCTCTACCAGACAGGGCATTCATCAAATCCAGATCATTTGGCAGATGCATGAGCAGTCAGAGAAACAGAGAGCATAACATATGAAATTTTAGTAAAAGAACATATTGCAAGGCACAAGGGCTAAGGTACACATTCATCCTTTATCCTGCATTCCAGTATTCCCAAATGTAAACCTTCAAGCAAAGAAAAACACTTCCTAGAAATATAAGAGGGGAGGGGGATGGAAAACTTCCCAAAATTCTTATAACAAAGGCATACACATTTCAGAATACTGTATAATGCATTAAGCTCTACTCCTGTCTCTGCCATTTTGTAAGATCCAGAGAATCAGTTTGAACTAAAAAGAATCAGAGATTTTCCTTTCCTATGAGAGCTTCGTTTATGATTCAGTTTGAACTATGAAGAATTTGTAATCTTGGTAAATAGCAATGATTACATTTTTTATTTTAGAAGATAAAAAGTTTCATCAAGTTCAGGAGGCACTGGAAAATGCTTACAGGGTAAATTGTCATGGCCTCAGGGCACCTTCGAGTGGGTGGCTCATATCAGAGATGGTCAGATTTGTATTTTTGATAACCAATGGATGTACATGCAAACTTTCACACATCAAGGACTGAGAAATGAGGAAAAGGGGTAAAATTGACAGACAAAACATATACTTTGTGGGTATCTCCAGAGAGAGGGTCCAGCACACAAAGTCATAAAGCTCAGAAATGAGAAGAGGCATCAAGTGGCAAAGATTTTTTACACCCCATGAAAATGGTGGAAAGTGTGGTTGCAATTCCCTTTCCAGTCATTGAGTGGATTAAAACAATAAGACTTGAAGTTAACAGTCCAGCAATAGAGTGTATAAATTACAGTTCACAAAAGCACAAGGAACCAATTTTTTTTTTTTCTTCTAATCCATCAATCTCAACAAGAAACACTAAAAAAAAAATACTTTTTGGTGTTATCAGGAATGTGTGTATTCATATTTTGACAGCTAAAAGTATACTAGGATGGTTTCATTTAAATCAGATAGGTTTATGGTTTTCATGTCAGGTCACACTCTTAGACTTTTTCAAAAATATATATGTAGTCCTCCCATCCAAGTAATGAAATACGGTGGCTCATTCACCTCTGTATCTGCAATGATTATGGGGAAAAAATTCATGAGTGGCAGGCTCTAAAAAGGATGACTTTTGAAATCACTGTTTTCCCCCACTTTGGTGTACTGTATCTCCTAAACAAATTTACACAGATTATTTAACACGTTAGCGACAATGCGTCCTGATGCCAGGATGCAGATTTTTTTTCAATGAATACCCTCTGGAACTGTTGAGAACGTTCCAGAAGATTATGATTTCGTAATTACTGATAAAAATTCCAAAAAATTCAACATTTTAAAAAAAACTCAGCAAAAAAAAATGTTTTCTGGGACCATGCATCCTGATGGCAGGACGCATTTTTTGACAAAAAAATGCGCGTGGTCCCACGCGGTGGACAAGCAAAAATAGGCTGGTCGTCAACGTGTTAAAATAATGTATCGCTTCCTTGAAAGTATGTACTATGTACACATATGGAAATATATCCAGCAACCATTTAATAAATATTTCTTTTTTCATTTTCGAAATCATCTAAACTCCAGAATGCGTCTTTTTTGGCAATTTTCTTCGATAGTTGAATGTGAATTCCATCTTAAATCAAAATATATTTTCCCAATCTACATTCATTCATGTATTTCTCTGAGTCATTTGGCATTTTTATCATTCATACCTAGTTCAATATTGACAAATTTTATCATTTTCCTAAGAATGGAGGGAAAATCATTTTTTCTCAAAAACTCCATCCTAGAATTTTTGGAAAATCTGTCATGCTGATACTAGAAAGCACAGGTTACCCAAAGGTATAAAAATGTCCTGCTCCTTTTGCTTAACTACGTAGTTATTGATTGTTAAACATGCACAATTTTCAGCTATGTAGAGGAGAAAAATAGTCACAGTCATGATTAATATTTACTTGAATGTGTAGAGCATGCCAAATAATAATTTCATGTGGTGATGAATTTGATTGTGTGATGATAACATCCTATGCTGATGTAATGATCAACCTGTGTCGCATGTTAAAAATGCTTTGCAGTGGTTTCAATAAAATAATGATAGTTTGCATGTTCGGCCTTCTTAACCAATTATATGGATACAACTATTTGTAGTAGTAGTCTCTGTATCTAAACTCCCATTGAAATTTACTTCAAAAGGTTCCACAATACAAATGAGTTCAAATTTTACTTCAAAACCCCCCAGCTCTGTATTGCACACTTTCCTGCTCTTCTTGTGCAGCTTTTTCTTTTACTTTCTAAAGCTTTATGGCCGCCTTCTTTCTGCTGAAAGAATAAATTATTTGGCAAAACATTCACATTCAAAAATGGTTGTTGCTTTCTAGAAAAATATTTGCTATTATCAGAATATGGGCCCAAAATGTGAGAAATTGTGATCATAACATACTGAAACTAGATTTTTCTGAAAACTGAATGTTGTGAGAATATTTTTGGGCAAAAATTTTTTTGTTGAAAATTTTGAGTTTTGTCAAAAATGTTTGCCCATTGTCTCCCTTTAATAATTTTGGAAATTCTTTTTTTGGTATAGTTATAGATCACTTGAAGACCCATCCAAAAACAGATTTTCACTGAAAGCAACTGTTGTATGAGGGAGTTACAGGTAAATAGGTAATTCATGCTTTTGCAAACTATTAATAACAATTGCCATTGAATAGGTTTAAAAGTTTTGTACAATCATTCGAAAATGAAACTTTGACTTTTCTTAAAACTATACTTATGCAAAATGGCCTCAAATCTATTGGTAGTAGTAATTAACTCACCACTCTGGGATTTCTTAAGCTCAGCTGAGAAGTTCTTTTGCAGAGCAAGGTCACCCTCAAGCTTGGCAACACGCCCAGCAGAAACCATCTTCCCCAACTCTTCATTCTCTTGGTATAACAGCCGACACTTGGCCATCAGTCGCTTGCCTGTGTTGCTGCAAGAGATGAAACACAAACACCACGATACCCTCTGGCTTTGATATTCTTGCACCCCGTCAATCTCCCATCATGCATGAGCTTCGCTCAAAATGGAAACAAACACAAAAGTGAATTTCATGACCTTTCATCATGACTGCCTCCAGGGATTGGGGCCCCCCTTTGGAGCCCAGTGGGGTAGATTTGGGGGGCGCCCTGTGGAGCTGAGTGGGGTAAACGAGAGATGCTGCTGTTGCTGAGTGAAAATTTTCCTTCCTTACATATAACATACACATTATATTCGATGAGGGAATGCACACATGCAAAACCGGGCACACTCCGGTCAAGCAGTCGCCACTGAACCTGCAGTTCCTTGACCAAGGCAGTCTGCCCACATGCACTTTTCCACTTTCTCTTCTGATAACACCACAAACACTTTCATCACTTCCTTTTTTTTTCTCCTTCCCACTTCACACAAGCAGACACAGAAGGTAGAAGTTCATTTTCTGGGGTGGTCAAGGCTGGCGCAGGTTTCCCAGAGGCGACACAGGGAGCTTTACTGCATGAGAAATTGTGGGAGTTTCAAAGACTTCTTAAGAAACACATTCAATTTAAGCCACAGAAAATAACAACAGGCATAGCCAAGGCATAATCTTTACTCAAAATTATGGAATGTCTCGCACATTCCATCTTCATGGAAAACTTGAATGTCTCGATTAGGTAATGAATCAAGCAACAAATTTTAAAGGACCAAACCAGAACCTTGATGTCAGTTTTGTTGACAAGCTCTGATAGTCCCCATCACTGAAAAGAATTTCTCATTTAAATGCTTTCGTCTTTCATGTTCTCAAAACTATACATCTATTTTCCATAACTAGTAGTTACATGCAATTTCCAATGTGTAATCTACACCTTTCATAACACTCTTGTTCCAGTGTAGACACTTAATTGGGTTAACCCTATCACTGGTGAGTTTTGAGATATAAGTTTATATTGGGCAAAGGTCAGGCCAAGAAATTTTCAGGAATATCTGAAAGAGTTAAGTACCTAAAGTGTGAGTGTATGTATAAAACCCAATGTCCTTTCATAAAAACAGAATATCTGCTCAATGTAAAGACCATTGGGAACTCAACTGAAATCTATATGGTTATCATTGCAATGCACATATGATTACATGCAACTTCTGTAAATGCCTCCTTAAAAATAGCAAAACTGTCCATAGATTTAGATAGAGGGCTGGAAACATTTCCAATTAACTTAGTGTATATTGGCAATCAGCAACAGCACTGTCTGCTATTGAATTTTAGCTGTGGGATGTTCCACTTTGTAAAAATTTGTAGGCTGCATAACCAAAAAAGAGAGGTCAACTTTTTGTCTAATTTTCTATATACACTTAATGCAGCAAGTATTAAATATTAATAATTATGCATTTCTATATCTGCCTCCACTATATGAAAGAGAAATAGGCCTCAAAGGTCTACTGAAACAGGAGAGATTGGCTTAGGGCATAAGAAAGGAAGTATGTGACTACAGAATATAATAAAAGTGGCAAATCTCATTTAAAAAAATTATATTAAAATATAACAGGAAATTCTAGGGTCCTTGACTCATCCATAAGAATGGATAATATATCAGTGCTTGAAGTCCATGTGGCATTGCAGACAGAAGCAATGCACCATGGAAATCTTTCATCAAACAGGTGATACTCCCTCTCACTTCACTGAATGCCCAGCCACCTACCTTGTCCTGACCATGGATTTGCAACACAGTCAAAGCACACTGAGTTTACCAGCCAAGTGTCTGACTGATTGATTGTGAAACAGAGAGGAGGAACAGGTATGTAAGAGGAAAAAAACCAGATTGGTTCGGAAGAGGGGGAGGAAGCACCTGTCGGGGGTGAACTTCCAAGCATTCAGTTCATTCTGTGTCTCTTCAAGGCGACGCTTGAGGTCGTCCAGGTCCCGCTTCAGGCGGCACGACACTAAATTCACGGCAGGGTCCATCAGGTGTGAGCGAAGGGATGAGATCCCTGGTGTCTGTGAAGCCTTGAGCTCATTAATCTGGTTCTGGCAAGGAGAAGAATTTGAGATTACTTCAAATGAATGCACTTGCCAAAAAGTCAAATCCATAGCATCACAAAGAAGATATGTCTGTCGGGTCATCAAGACTTCACAAACAATTGACCTAGCCTAGACCTATGCACACAATGCACTGATTTCTGTCCTGGGCCTAGGGGAAAACATTGACACTTGAATGTTTTGGAAATGTGCAACATGACTAAAATACCTAGGTTAAAGGAGATTCAACAGCTTTGGAGAATAAACCCATCTTGCTGTAGTGCCCTTGTATAAAATATACCATTGTCCTCAATTCCCATGAAATTTTGATTGCGCAAGGTAGAATGAACGTGAAAGTTGAGTTCTCACAGATATCAGATATAAACAATTGAGTTCCAGTTCTGGGGTGCCTCTGAGAAAATTGTTCTCCAGGTGTTCATACATAACAAGTAGTCCTAGTAGTAGAAGTCCCTTTATGAGTATGTTGATGGTAGGACAATATCCCACCAGTATGGACTGCTAATCTCATGATGTAGAAACTAAACATGTTCAACTTAGCATGTTCATTTTAACATTACAGATTTTTTAGATTCCTTGACATTCAAGTCAAACTTGTACAATTGACATTTATGTAAAAGTGTAATGATTTGGAAAATATCATTTAACTGCTCAGCAGCAGACATCTCAGACTGCTTCCATTTCAATTCAAATGCAAGCTGTTCTCATGCTGCAATGGCTTTTATTAAGACCATCGCTGAAGGACGTCCCTTGACAATTGTTTCTGCTAGATGATGACTGCAAAGAATAGGTAATGCAATAATATAATGGAGCTAATGGTAAACATAATAAGGAAAGACAGCCTGGAGTGTGTTGCAAACGTTGCACCTCTTTTCTATGATCCTCTACTCCACTCCCTCTTGCTTTGGCAGGTCTTCTCAAATTACTTCTTCTCTTAGAAATGTCAGGCCCCACTTTGCTATCTTTTGAACTTCATATCCTAGTTCATTTCCATACTCTATAATTTAAAAATCTTACATTTTTCTTTCACAGAGACTGAATGGTCCCAGAACAAGCAAAGAGATCCAGCAGGCAAAACACAAGGGCAGCTGAAGCTGGCTGTCACAGATACACATTGAGAGGCAGAAACTCCACATTCAAGTCATAGTGCACATCTGTTTGATTCCATGCCAAAATTGTTCAAATTGCAACATGCACTATTTTAGCATTATGCATCTTAAGAAGTGTATCAACCTGTTTTCTGTCAATGATGATTTATTCCTACCAAACCTTAACCCTTTATAACAATTAGTCCCAACAAGGGGTGAAACAACAAATCTGCCCCTTGGGCTGACCATTAAGGGTTCTGAGAAATGCGACAAGGGATAATAAAAAAGAAAAATAATTAAATTTTAAATGCTTTCCCCTAAAGAAAATTAAATTGGCAGTGCCTAGGAACCACTGTAACATTTGTAGATAATGACCAAAAATTAAGTGTGTGAATCTATTGGGTTCACCAGTAACAAACATGAGAACTAACCAAGAGATCTTGATGCTCCTGCTCTTTTGTTGTAAGTCTCATGACAAGAACACTCTCCTTCCTTGCTGCTTCCAACAGCTGGGTCCTCAGTTTTTCAATAATTTCTTGTTGATTAGGTTCATCTAAAATGAAAGTTCAGTCATTTATACAAGGCCACTGAATACAGTGCAAGCATATCCTAGGCCTAAATAGTTTTCTCAATCCTGAGTCCAAAGAGTTCATGATTTGAATTGAAAGGGCTTCACAAATGATATGAAAAAAAAAAAGATTCATATCATCTACACTGAGCTCAGCTTGATGTATAATCTATGATATGTATGATCTATGATGATTTTCTCAGAGCACTCAATTCTTTGGAATAGGGATCACCGGCCGGCCATAGGCAGAATCAACTGCGAACTCCACCACTCGTCTTCCAATGCATCCTCTCCTTCCAGCAGTATGGTTAGCCTAAGTTCTCGCCGACCGACCACTACTACCATACGCGTCCAATATTCCCGGTTCAACAGGGCCTGTAAACACCTACTTCATGAATTACTTAATGACAACGTCACAGCCCCTGAATTTTCCGAACTGGAATCTCTCAGAGTGAGACCATCGGCCTGGCAGAGAGATAGTTGACCAACCATCATGGTCTTGTCTGGGGGCAAAGGAAAAATTAACTCCCAAATGAACTGCTCATTTTTCACATGGATTCTTTCCCCATAGAAGTATGAATAATCTCATTTATAATTTTAAAAAAAGGAACGGGGATGACTTCGAAGCAAAGGAGTTTTACTGTGTTTATTTTCACTTCAAGAAGGTCAGCTAAACTGATGGCAGCACTCATGATTAAGCAACTCTTCAATCAATCCCCCTCAAAGGGAGGGGAAGGTTGAAAAAGTAAGTGATATATTGGCATGAAACCTCAAAATTTAAACAAAAGCATCCAAACATAGGGATGCATTAATTTATAGATGTGTTCATACAGATGTGTGGCACATCCTTCAGTACCCCTCTTTCAAAATTTGAGAATAAAAAATATAGGGGGGGGGGGGGAGGAATGAGCGAGAGCACAAAAATGAGTGGGTTCATTTGCTGTCAGAACCCTGGCAAAACCTGCACATGTACTGTATGCCTTCAATTTGGGTATCAGTCATTCCCTCCATATGAGATACACCAGAGCATCCAGGTGAAACCATTGCCTACATGAGTCACATCCTATCCATCTGTTTCCTGTGGTGAGTTTACATTCTGAACAAGCTTCATTATTTTCACTATCACTTTGCTCAGCCTTTCCCCCTCCTTTCTTCTCCTTTACAGCCTTCCGTGCATCCCTCTGTCGCCCTTTCTCCTCCTTCTCCTGCCGCTTCTTTTTCACATAAGTAACGTAATCAGTAGTTGATACAACAGTTGGTATTCCTGCTTTTGATTTTGAACTCCTACGCTCCATCTCCACCAGCCTTTGAGGAACTCATAGGTATTTTGTGAAGGGAGACAAGTCATAGGTGTCTGAGTGACCCTGCTGGTTTTTGTTCACAGTATTCATGGGAGGTGTCAGAGCCATGGTGTTCTCCTCTGCAAGGATTTGTGACGTGGTAGCCACAGCATCCTGCACTCCATAGATATTTCGATCTGCATTTCTGGTAGATGTTTGCTCACCATCATCACCTTGAGTAGAACACGCTGTAGATTTGGCTTTTAATTTTTTCCACAAGGAGTATGAGTGCCTCATGAGGGGATCTGACTCTGATCCAAGCACTGCATGACTCTGAAAGATTTCCACTATGTATTGCCCAAGTTCTTATTCGAGTAGATGAAGGAGACAGCTGTAATCATCTTTTGTTGCAGATCTAGTGCTTGATTGATCATCTGACTGGTTTACACAATGCTGGCTACCACAGGCTTGATGATTTAGACCACGATGGTTGTCCCTACAATTATTCGCGATTTCACTACTGCCCAATGGGATTCTATCATTTGTGTGTTGCATCCTGTTACCGGATCAACAAAGTTCTCTGAGTGATTGTTTTATGTGTGAAACCATGCTGGCTTAGGCTTCCGTATGCTTTCCACTCATTGGACCAAATTTCTGTTCCTGGATTGATGTGTTTCTGTATGATCAGGAGCAAGGTATGTATGTCCCTCTTTGGTACTAGCAGGAGGCGCAATTCAGTTACACCATCATGGTGCCAGGCCATTCCGATAACCCAGGGTCCAACGACAGCATCCCCATAATTTTGGCATGCTGGAGGAACAGCATTCCCTCGTAGAATTCTTCCTTTGTTGTTCTTCCTCCTCGCTCTGAAATTTTGGTCACAAGCCGCTAATGTTCAGGAAATGCAGGAGGGCACGGAAACAAAGGCAAAATAATCTCACTGGAAGTAACTTTCATCTATTTGGATTATTTCTCCTGGCCCTCCCATGGGTACTGCTGCCTCAAACGCCTTTTTACATATTTCTTGGCAGAAATGCCTCCAATCAACAAAAGTTTCCCTGTGAAGGGCGCTCAGACCCCCCACCATTACCCAATGACATTGCTTTATGGTGAGGTCGAGCATCCAAGTCCATATGAGGGCCATTATGACATGGATTTGGAGTTTTGTGCAGGGTCTCCCCAGACGATCCTTGAAAGCTAAGAAGATACCTCCCTCCCGTTGTCCTCCTCGCCCTTGCTGTTGCTGTTCCAAAACCATAGGGCCGCCTCTCGCACTCCAATAAGCCCTACATATAGTAAAACGAACAACGGGGTGTGTTTTCCCGCGAGACGTCACGTTCCCATCCTGTAGCCTTCCCCTGCAATCTCATTTCCTGCAAGGAACTTCTTGCCATGCTGAAGCAAGTGGCAAAAGCCCCTCTCGGCATGAAAATTCAATAGCACCCTCTTCATTCAAGATGATTCCTGCCAGCTCAAAAATACCGACATCAACAGCCATCCTGACACAGAATATGCACACCTTTTCCAAAACAACAGGTAAGCAATGGGAAAAAAGTGATACTATAGGAACTTTAGCAACTTACGCAAGAATTGCAGAGGATGGGTAAGGTGGTTGATGTAGAAAACAGGAATGGCAAGAATTACGCGACAAGGCATCCCTTTTATGTGGTAGGTCGTTCTGTGTGACCTGGGGTTCTATCAGAACTACACTTTCACCCTTTCACCAAGGGGAAAATCATCCCTGTGACCTGCTACCCCTTCCTCATACCCGTGATGCGCATTGATGTAATACGCAGATTTACAGATAAAAACTTGTGTTGCATGCCATATTGTATTTTTTGAGGGGATGGAAACATCATGCCTCGTTGGGAGCAATAGCTCTGGATTTTTGCACCTTAGGTGTGGCATATTGAGTGTGATTCGGCAGTCGTGTGATTTTCGGTCAAGAAGTGCTTTGAGTAGTCCTGCTAATCGTGGAACTCGAGTCTGGAAGTGAGATCCCTTGTTGCTTCTGTTCCCCAAAATATTTCCCCCATTTTCTGCTATCCCATAAATTATCAATCATATGCATTTTTTAACCTTCCCTTAACAGGGGTGTCAAACTGGCAGTCTGCCAGTCATTTTTTCCGGTCTGTGAAGTCCTCTTCAACAGTCGGTTACGGAAAATCACTGCAAATTTCAGCCTGTCTGCATGAAATATTAGATATTAGGCTTTTATTGTGGCCCCTAATCACCCCTGAAGACTTCCATCCGGTCCCCAGCCTTATCAAGTTTGACACCCCTGCCTTAACCCTTTCATGTCCACTGGCGGACATAGTCCGACAATCTCCATAGCATTACAAATAAAATCAACCGGTTGAGACAGTACTTCCAATCTCTATTTGTTCGAATTGGACGATCGAAAAAGATGATCCCACACCTTCCATATAGAACGAACATGTGACCTATCAGCTTTTAGTCAGAACAACTGTTCAACCTCGGATCTGGTCATCCTATGCAGCGAGTGTTTCGTGCTACTGAAGTGCTAGAGGTTGCCATAGGGTGGTTTTCGGGTCTCATGATCGGTTTGGGGAGACCCGGCACAAAAATTCATGTCATTCTGGCTTTTCTATGGACTTGGTCACTCAACCTCACTATCAATGTTCTGAGCGCCCTTCGTGGGGAAACGTAGGGAAGAGAAGCATATGACGAGCAGACGACAGGGACCCTAACGTGAAACTAGCATGGCGCTGCTCATGCATCCCCCAAGGGAGAGGTTCACAAGGAAGGGCAGGGGAGGGTAACATCACAAGCCTGTAGGCCAAACTCACTCAATTCAGTGTCGGGTGGATTCATGTTCGTCATGTCAACCTCCCTGCCCAGTGGGGTAGGGGGGGTTGACATAATGAACTATATCCATGCTTTTTCTATGGCCAGCCGACGAGAACACCTCCTATACTGGACCGCCGGCCGACCACCCCGTTCATGACATTCGCACTGTCTTATAAGCATTGATTACATCACTGAAGGGAAGAACAGAATATGATGTTGATTTCTTCTGGATACTTCATAGTTGGGCAGGGAAATAAATGATCTAGTTCATGGTGAAAGTTGTTTGAGGATCTCACGGGCTCTCCGAGGCGTAATGTTTAGGCCTACCTCTCTTTTCACGTTAGAACATCTCTCCATGAACTATTGCTGTCTTTCTTTGACACCACACGAATTAGTACTAATGTGACCATCATTTGTGGTAATGGGCCGAGAGTTATACAACTTCAAACATTAGAGACAGAACATCGTTTTTCAGTGGCCAGCCAGCAATCCCAAAACCCACCTGCCTGGCCGGCGGTAACTTACTATAACCCAGAAATATTACGTATAATACCAGAAGTATTAAGAGGATATAGGAATGAGTATTCTATTGACTTGATTTGGCACTCTTCTCACCCTTCTTTTCAGGAACAGTAGCCTGCTTGTCTTCCAAGTAGTCGATGTAATGGTCCTGTTCGTTCCATCGGATGATGAGTTCCTCCTTACTCAGTTGTTCCAAATCATCAAGGGTCAGCTTCAAACGGCTCACTTCAACATTGGGTTCAGTTTCTGACATCCTCTGTCTTCTGAGCTGAGTAACTCACTGATGGCAAGTCTTTTGGTTGCCTGAGTTAGACCAAGGCCCTCATGCATTACATCCAGAATGCAATTCCAGGTTGAACGATGACCAAAGTTTCAACGAAAGCTTTCCGTGCATAGCCGGTGTTTTCTTTTCAATGCTGTTTCACCTCCAAATAAATAAATAAATAAAAAGTAGATATAAAAATGTAGTATTGATAGCACATGCAGGGCCAACCTGAACTCTGACAGCTAAGCTAATGTTAGGCCTAACGTTGTCAAACGGACCTCACGGTTCAAGAAATACCAGTCGAAGGTCTTATAAAAACCTTGTTTAAAAGTAAATACTAGTTCTTTGGCGCAATAAGACGCAAAAAGAAAAGGAAGATATGGGTAGCCTGGAGCATAACCCGCCCAACAACTACCACAGAGCGTGAATGAGATCAAAATGGCGGCTTTAACCAGTGTTGCCAGGAACGATCGATACATTCTTTAAGACAGACCCGAAGGAACACGTTTAAATGATCATTTATGATTTATAAAAGAATAAAAGCCAACTATTCATATCACAATCCAAACCACAGATTCAATGAGCAATGGAAACCATGTCGCAAAGAAAGCTCATTGTAGCACGGAAATCCCTTCCGTCATGGTAGTGCCTGCTTCCAAAAGGATATTCTCACCGTTTTTGTTCGGTCCAGGCCTGCCCAAAGGCATCGGGAACAATCTGCCCCGGAGCCTCGTGTATCAAGAGCCCCAAGGAGTCTCCAATGTCAAGGTCCCAAAAGAGCCCATCCAGCCATCCCCATCCATATACAGTGACCTCTGGTTTGGTTTTGCTCCAGACCCATTGGGGCGATTTGTCGAGAAATTTGGGGGGGTCAGAGACTACTCCTTCGCAACTACTTTTTGTACTCTTGTCCTTGCTGTCCCTAACCCAAGCCCCCACCTCCAACACCACCCCCCTTTCAGAGGGATTAGGGCTTCATCTGACAGGCTTCATTCCCTCTTCTCCTAATATAACTAGGATAATCGAAAATGAAGTAAAGGCAAATCTCCGGAACCCAGAGGTGGCCCAATGTATTTGCCGCAGGGAGCCCCGCATATTCCCGCCGGGCCTGTCCCAGATTGTCAGTTTGTTCTTCCAATTGAGTTCACATAATTGAAGAGACTTCTTCATCACGAGTATAGTTTGAGCCAGCCTTCAATGCATTGACCTTCTCATGAATGGAAGAAAGGCTTAAGTGAGCAATACCCCATCTAAAAAAATTTTTCGAAAAAAAAATCGTTTCCGCAAAAATTGGCTCAAACCATACCTCAGACACTGAAGATTGCTTTCCCGTTGGAAAAAATAATGAAACTTAATTAATTAGGTGTAATTTAGACTTATGAATGTAGTATTGTCTTTTTACATCTTAGTATCGGCTTTTACCCTTGGATACCGTATGTTAGAAAAGATGAAAAATTAAAATTTCAACGCCATAACTTTTGTTGAAGTCTATAGTTCACTTTGGATTCCACTCCTAGGTGCCTCATTCCACGGAGTCGATAGGTTCCGTAGTTTTCGATTACCTTTGCAGATGGCTCACAGGGCGCTAATTCACTTCTCTTATTGATTTCCCGAAAACCCATTTTCACCATGAGTACGGGGCTCTTGAGCACGACATCTCAGGACCTAGAAGAGATATCCGTATGATTTTTGCACTAAATTTCCTTGCATAGATGGTCGTGGAATGACGAGAGCATTTCCCGATATTGTAGATGTGATATAAATAATTAGCACATTGATACGTAAGAAGCAGGTCAAAATGGAGAAAAAATTTTCAATTGTTCGAATATTTTTATACTGAAGGAATTTCATTAAAGTGCACCGTCATTCCAAGCTTTATGTCAAACATACGGCCCGCGGGCCGGATCCGGCCCGCGGAGGTGGTTCATCCGGCCCGCCGTCTGTTCTTGAAATTTCCGCTTGGATTGACTGTCAGCACAAATTTCGGTGAAAAAGTATGGGTGCGGCCAGCAAGCATCTGCAGGATAAGGGATTCGGCCCGCCGACCGATTTGAATTTGACACCCCTGCTTTATGATATCTTTATTATGTGTGTGAATTTCATCTATATATATTCATGTATATTCAAGGATTTTTAATACAGGTGACTCTCCTTATACGCGCTTTCGTTATCCGCGTTTTTCGCATATCCGCGGTTTCACTTCGGTGCTTGGAGACTATCACAATCCCTATTCGCTGGGTGCACTAACACTAGATGGCACGTTTTAAATATGGCCCGCCCATGACTGGGGGGAGTCGTACATAAGGAGGAGAATGGAACAAAGCCATGTCTTCACAGAATTGTACAATCCTTCTTCACGTGGGGCTCCTCCCAACTTGAGAGCCATGACATTGATAAAGGGAGCTTCTGGCCTAATTAAAACATGTTATGAATGCGACAGTGTTTAGGGGTGTGCAAAAAACGTGTTTCAATCCTTAATCAAATTTCACCTTCAGAGGAAGTACAGGTTTTCCTCAAAGCCACGCACCAATGCAAGGATTTCCATGGAATCATGAGCCCCAGTGAGGTTCATGTGCATGATATGAGTGGGATATTATTAATATCTTCCAATTCCTGATAGAATTCACTACAACGGGAAACTGCTTTAAACTTGAAGTTTTGACTCCCATTGCCTCTGTATTCCCTTAAGTGCTGCTATCATTGTGCTTCATGGGCGTAAATAATAACCCATGACAGAAACCCTTTCTGGATTAGTACCTCAGCAGGGCCGGATTAAGAGGTTGCGAGGCTTCGGGCAAGTGAATTCTTCTCATATGATTTTAATAGGCCCATGGAAAGCGAAGGCCTAGACTGAAAGAAACTTCATAACAAGCCTTTCAGGCTGTCTGGATGCTCCAAATAGAAACTTCAACCCATCGATTAATCATTCTTGGCCTTAAGAAATCCCTTTGGCAAAAAAAAATTAAGCATTTTCGTAGTAAAAACAGTTTCTATCTGCATGTTTCCATAAGAAACGCATTGAAGCTTGCGCGCTTGACTCCCCACAGCTCATTTTTATGCTTCCTGCCGCCAGATGTCTCCAACTTAATGCACCCTTCTCGAAGCATACATGTAGTACAAGTTACAAGTATTAGTCTTGTAAATTACAAGTTTATGTTTCTCGAAGAATTAGGATCCCACTTGTATTTACAACTGTTTGCGCTCGTAATATATTAGTGTTGTTGGGCAGAATACAAGTTTTCGTTTCTCAAATGAGAAGTCTGGGGGCGGTTACTTGTAAAAAGCCAGAGAAATCTTACTAGTCTCCGGACGTAGGTTAAAGTGTTCACAAGTGCAAATTGGTACAGGTGGTAAAGCCATGTTTTCTAGCGATTCCGATGAATCTGGGGATGATGTACGGGTGCGTGATGTTCGCGCAGTTCGCTATCAGAGAGTTGTTCAGCCAAGAGCTGGTTTTGATTTTCTGAATACATATTCCTTCAATGAGCTATTTCGGTTGAAACCGAGCGATATGGAGTACCTACTTCAGAATATGCGGCTTCGTCTCGAACGACCCACTGCGAGATGTAATGCACTTGCACCAAGAGATCAGATCCTCATTGCTCTTCACTGGCTTGGCAATGGAGGACAGTACCACGGCGTTGCCGACATGCACAATGTCTCCAAAGCGTCTGTGCACAGATGCGTTCGTGATGTCGTGAACGCCATCAACTCAAACCTCTTCCCAGCCCATGTGGACTGGCCAAAGACGGATNCAGCGAGGTTGAGAGAGGAGCGAATGTGCCTGCTACTATCATAAGAGGACGCTTGATTGGTCAATATGGATAGAAATGGGGATCATATGGGTGCAAAGGAATCATTTGGGGGTGACCGCACCCCCCCCCCTTCTTTTTTTTTGCACCACTGCTGCCTACCCAATTTTTTTACCCACGAGCCGCCACTGGTCACCTGTATATCGTGTTTGAAATGTAGCTACTTTTTTTTACTCACGGCGGCCATATTGACACCTAATAAGCATAAATTATGCAAATTATGCATGAAATCGAAGTAGTTTTTCGAGGCCTCCAACCTGATGAACAGAGTTGATTTACGCCACTGGAACTCGCAATATTGGTTTTAAAGGGGTATTGCTACCTTAAGCCTCAGCTTGGATATTGATACTTCTGTTAACTCCCTCAGTTGGCCCAATCGTTTTCTTCATGACGTTCAAAGCAAAAAAGAATTTGAAAGACAGCAAGTTGTTCAGAAACTTCGAACACTTCACACGAATTCGTCATGCCGGGTATCAGCTGCATCTTAAAAGAGCTGAATTAGTTCCTCATAGTTTTCGAGGAAAGACTGGATGCTCCAGAAACGTATGGTCCATCTCGTCGGACATATTAGTCGGAGAGAGGAGGAAGAGGACTCCTGAAGGGACCGAAACATTGACAGTCGCTGTAGAGATTCATGAACTGCGTTGATTGCATCCTTTGCAATGTCAAAAGAATCTCGGAAGAGAACTTGTAAGAGCATCTTGCACCGAGGAGCTCAAGGAATGGGCCGCACAACGGATGTACAGAGTGCAAGACCTTGCTCTGTTCAGCATTTACTCTTGCTTGTAATTAATTAAATCGCCCAGATATGTTTGCAGCTGCATCATAGCATTGACCACTGAGGCTATCGAACTTGAGCTGAAATCTTAGCAACGCATCCTTCGCTATGAAGAAGAGAGTTTCAGAGTCTGTTGAGTCTGCTCCATAAAAACCCATTAAAGACTCGTTCACATTCAGGTCACCCTGCGTCCCGTAGCGCAAGCAAATACTGACTTGCTCAGACTAAGAGCAATCTGTCTCTTCGTCGATCGATTAGAGCGAAGAATTTGGATGAATGAACCTCAAATATTACCTTTTGCAGGACCTCATCAGCCATTATTTGGAGAATCTCATTCTGTACATCCTTGCTCAACCATTTGTCGCGACGATCTCCTCGGTTCAACCACTCCTTCAGTTTTTTACAATCATCAGACCTCACTTCCAGTATCTGAAATAACTTTCCTTCATTGTCTTCAAGACCACGGATAGCCAGTCCTTGCTGTTCAAATAACTTCAAAGTAGTGAAAAAAAATTATAATGCTCTTTTGGCGGGAAGAAGATCGGCCCTATGAGCCGCACTGATTTCACTCATCACGTTCACCCCTGAAA